TCTACTTTTACTCTCTTACACTTCTTTTGTTTCCATGCTCTCCAGGTGTCTCAGGGCATTCTTTCCCAGAGGGCTACAGGCTGTCCTTTCCAACTCGGACAAACTACATGTACGCTGTCGTGAAACACGCCATCCCGGCGCTGCGGGCGTTAACCGTGTGCCTGTGGCTGCGGCCCGCGGAGCGGGGGATCGGGACGCCGCTGTCTTATGCTGTTTCCAAACAACCCAACGAACTGGTGCTGATGCAAGGCCTGCACACCCCCGCTGAGCTGCTCATCAATGATAAGGTACTGAATCTGAGCGTCCACTGTGTATCTAAGCTGACTTATCCGCTGCTAGAGTTTAACATTTTTAAATATGCTTTTCTGATTTCTTGGAATTGGTCGAGAAGTTTCAGACCAACCATATCTTTCACCGCAATCATATATAATGATGGAAACAGCTAGCCTGGCTCTGTTTGAGGGTAACAAAAATGTACTAAACTTAAAGCATGCTCAACTTAAATAATTAGCATCTTCCATGTCTCATCAAAAGATACATGGATGGAAAACGTGGATTTCCCCATGGAAAGTTTGGACACGGACAATCAGGAAACTTAGGTGGAAAACAAATATCCAATTACCCATAACTAGAACACATCATGTGGAAGAGCATATTTATCAGACACAGTTAAATAGCTCCATTCCTATGTTTGAATTGCAAACCATATTGAGAACACCGCAGGGCAATGAAATGCAGGGCTGTGCTTTAGGTATAGTTTAATGAATTCACTATGGTAATATATACCTGGGGGGAAAGTTCTGTGTCCTTGAAGGTAGCAGGATGTCTTTGGGACTGACGAAATATACCATACAACTGAAGAAATACGAGACAAATAAGATGTTGAAGGACTGTCAAAAAAGTGAAACAGATAACGCCTGTTGACATCTCTTACCTACAAATCTGTGGTGCGTGTGTAGAGACATCTGCTTTATCTGAACTGCCCTTTTGCTCGTTGATTCATAGGTGGCGCAGTTGCCTCTTAACCTGTCCAAAGGCAGCTGGCAGCACATCTGTGTGACATGGAGCCAGAAAGGAGGAGCCTGGCAGGCCTACCAGGGGGGAAAGCTGAGGGGCGAGGGGCGCGGAGTGGCCGCCGGACATCACGTCAGACCTGGAGGAGTGCTCATACTCGGGCAAGAGCAAGTAAGTGTATGAAGATTGATAGATGGATAGATAGATAGATAGATAGATAGATAGATAGATAGATAGATAGATAGATAGATAGATAGATAGATAGGTACTTTATTCATCCCGATTTGGGAAATGTTTGCGTTGCAGCAGCATAAAAAAACAAGGCAATGTACATAAGAGAAATTAAGACACAAGAAATAAATAGTCCAAAATATTTCAGAAACAGAAATAAAGTAGCATTAAAATGTAAAAAATATATATATATACGTGGATGTGGAAAATATACATGTGGAAATACAACTTCCATGACGAAAAGAGTGATAACGGGCATGATTTCTTGCAAATAAATCTAATTTGGTATCCCCTTAGGCTACTGCTGACTACAGCACTGTAAGCAAAGAGTGAAATTCCCCCTGCAGCTGCAAGGCTATTCACTTATTGACTTATCCATAAGGTGTAGATAATGTTAGTAAATAAATAAAAGCATGAAACACTTTGAGAGCCTTGAAGAAAGTACGACACAGTAAATCTACAAATTCAATTTAGTTTGGATTGTGCTGCTAAACAGAGTGGGATCTTCTAGTGCTGAGTAGATAAGGTGTGTGCGTGTGAGCGTAATGTTCAAAAGCTGCATTTCCACTGCATGGTATGGCTCTGCTCCACTCAACTCAAGTCCCTTTCTGTACAAGGTACTTTTTTTATTTAGTTTTCCACTGCGGATAGCACTCAATCATTGTAAGTTGTGTTTGTAGATCACCGATATACAGTAGCGTCACCTTATAAAACTGTCTCAAGCAACACTCATTGGATCCTTTTATCAATCTCTAAACAGAGAAATGTTTGCACCAACACAGCGTAGTATTCTGTGTATCTTTGTGGGATGGCCATTTTAAAAACAACAAATAATTGTGGTGAATTTTAAGATTGCATTTTGTTGCGCTAGATTTTCTCTCGGACCAATAAGTGGTGTCCAGTGTTTTAACTTTACCTTCTAGAAGGCCTATAAACTCAGCTTAGACCCTCTACCAACATGGTACCAAAGAAAGGACCAAGTACTTTCCACAACTTTTGCTAATGGCCAACAAAAAAAGAGCGAGTCAAGTCGAGTAGAGCAATGCGGTACAATGCAGTAGATATTCAACATCAATTCAGTAGTATTTCATTCATACTAGTCACTTTTTTCACATCATATTCATCTTCCTGCGAGAATGAACACAATCCGGCTCAAGGCAACAAAACCATTGAAGCTGTGCTTTTGTATCAAAGTCAACTTTATTGTCAATCTTTCAGTTTGTGTGGACAGACAGAGAGATCGAAATGCCGTTTCCGACAATCCTGAATACGAAAATAAAAATATATATAAAAATATGTATATATCTATATACACACAATCAACAGACACATTTATACATATGCACACATTAAGACATATATAAAAGCACAACAATCACTATATACAAAATAACAGTCACTTCCATAACTTTGAGAAATGTGCATTAGTGCAAGACTGTCCATAGCAGCGTATGAAAGTAAAAGATATTTTTAAAACATCCTTTCAGTGATCCATCTTCTCTACTTTTTTTTTTTTTTTTAAAGGATTCCCTAGGTGGAAGTTTTGACTCATCCCAGGCCCTGGTGGGAGAGTTATCCCAGGTGGGTATTTGGGACCGGGTGCTGTCTTCCAACCAGGTGGCTAGCTTGGCCCGCTGTGGCAAAGTAACCCAGGGCAGCGTGGCCCCCTGGACCGAGAGCGGAGTGGAGGTTAACGGAGGAGCAACGAAGGACCCTGGGGAGCCTTGTAGTAAACACAACAGGAATTCTCAATGACGAATGGGGGAATGGGAAGAGAAGGGAGAGGTAGAGTTGTAGTCCTTTTAAGAATGGGTGGATTTTTTTTAACAACTCTATGTGGCATGGACTGACAAGTAAATCAAAAATGTAAAGTGAGGCGTTGCAGTTACTTTACCACACTTCTAGCAACCACATACAGTAGGCTACAATCATTGAGGTCCACTGGAAAATTGTGCAATACGAGATGAGATTTGTCATATATATATAGCTGTATTTTTGGTAGGACAATTCACAGTAATTTCGAAGTTCAAAAATTATTGTTATAGATCTGTCTCCAGATTCAGGCGACACTAAACTATTTGCTCATTGGTCTTAGCTCATCTAAAAGTTGCAGCCTTGCTACTTGCTAGCAGACAAAGCAGCATGCAACGAATGTTAATATGTGAATTTAGCAAACAATTCATCTTTCTGTTAGCTATTAATCAGTGATTAATGTACAGGCAATGACACAGTGAATGTTAGCCTACCAATAATAGTATACTAGCTAGCTAAAAAAACGGTCACTTTCTCAGCTTTAAAGGAAGTGTTAAGCATTTTGTTCAGCTAGCAGACAACAAATGTGAATGTTAAGATTTAATGCTAGCAGACAATTGAATCTTCTGCTAGCTATTAATCAGTGGTGATGTGTAAGCAATGATGCAATGATAGGTTAGCTTACCAAAACTAGCATGTTAGCTAGCTTACCAACTGTCAATATCTTAACGTTAAAGAAATTGTTCAACAATTTACTACTCTCATGTCTTTACAGTGAATATCAAGCTACCTTCAGCAGCTGGATAACGTAGCTTAGCTTGAAACCGTTAACAGCTGGTGCTAGCTTCATACTTAGCGTAACTACACATGTGAGTATCAAACTTCCTATCAAACCTTCAGCAAGATTGTAAACGAGTTATTCCCAAAATGTTTAGTGATGATTAGATTAGTAGAGATGTTGTCATCTGTGCATAAATTACCACTCTCTATTCAACCCACTCTCACGGCATTTCCTGTTATAGTCACAAAATTAATTTAATCTATTGATTCGTGTTCATCGACACGATTTTTGCATTTTTTTTTGTGTCACACAGAACGATTTTAAAAGCAATGTATTTCTATTGGTAGTATAAAAATCGTGTTAGTGAACACGAGTCACATTAATTTCGTGACTATAACACGAAATGCCGTGAGACTGTGTTGCTTTATTCATTCTAACGGCCTAAACTGGGTGAAATTGAATATGTATTTCACAGTTGTTGTAAGAGCTGCTGACCTCCACTAGGCTGCTAGAAGTTGTGTAAAGCTGAATCCCTCCTCCTCAAGGTCGTGTTTGAGTAAATTAAGGGCTGCGACAGATTTAGAGAAGGGAGTGGTAAGGTGATGAAAGCATTGGAGAATGTTAAATACAGAGGAGAAGATGATGAAAAAGAAAGGAAAGACGAAGTTAAGAGATAGATCTGACACTTTTAAGGAGTGATGTTACATTGTTTTCACCTCTGCATGATGTATTCATATAATTACTTGCCACTGCACTGTGCAGCTCACAAGTTTCACAAAAGAATACAGTGCCTCCTGCATCCATTGCTGGTGGGTGGCTGTCTTTGTGTTTTCTATAAAGGCCTGAAGCCGAATCAAAAACAAAAAAGGTCTTATTCCCTAAGGAAATCAATACCACTAGCTGAATGCTATTATTTTCTGGAGGCACTACACATACTTTTGACAAACCTTTGCCCCATTTATGTCATTCTTACAACCTCTAGCATCTTGAAGCACACTCTTTGTTATTTTAAGGGGACATTTTTAGGTTCATACTTGTATTTTCGGTTTCCAGTAGAACATATTTACTTGCTTTAAAGATTTTTCATACTGTCTTGATGATGGGGTTGCAAGAAAAATATAGCCCACCTTTCCATCGCCAGTTCTCAAGCTGTGTGATGAGATACTCAGATGGAGGGTAGTATATGTTAATAAGCCCACATGTGACATAGGAAGAGGGGACAAATGTTAATGGTTTGTTTAACGACATCACATTTCATGACCTGTATAAAGGTCTGACTGTGATGTCATATATCACTTGTCTTGGTCAGCATTCCAGATACACGAATGTATGTAAACAAACACTTAAAGAGATGATATGTTTTCATGGTCTTGAATGTAACTTTGAAACATACATAACATATACCTAGACTATTTTAAAACTGGCATAATGCAACATTTACATTTGTTTTTATATTGACTGTTTTATTTTTGCAATAATATACATGCAACCTCTCAATAATGTGGTTTGATTCGCAACCTCTAACTCTAACATTCCTACATTCATGCCCGTGCAAAAGTGACGCTTCAGAGAGGTAAGTGGAGAGTCACAGTTTGATATATTGGGCCACTGACCAAGAGAGAAAACACCCTGTGGGAGATGAAGTTAGAAACAGATTGTTCATTTCACACTTTCTCAAACACTGGCTCTCCTTAGCATAAAATAATCCTTAGTGGAAAGTGCCTGTCAGGGTGTTTGTACCCATGTAAAAAAGAAAAAACATCTCATTTAATATTCCGTCGGATAATTTTTGCTGCGAGGTGAACTTGAGCTAATTAAGCATCACTATTTCTGTGTTTTTGATGAAACATTTGAAAACACGGGACTTAAGTGCGGTGCCGTTGCTTAATCAGGTCAAAATCATCTCGCTGTGCCTAACAGTGTCTTTGAAGAGTCCTCTCAGTCTGCAGTGTTATTAATATTATTATGCCTGGTGTCTGTTCAGCTCCTGTAAGAGCTTTCTTTTTGGGCTTTTTGATAGTGGTGTGAAATTACTCTGTTTATTGGAATAGAAAGCTTTTTAACTCAAAGAAGTATCGGCAATGTTTTCTTACATGACACATTTGTTTTTCACTGTTTGCATTGGCTTAATCTCATTTTGTTGTTTGTATAAATAATGTATGTCCATGACTTGTATGGTGTTGTATTGTTCTGCATATGTGCTGTGTACAAACCTCAAATCTGTATTAAAGTCTTAATTTTCAGATGTAAAGAGTGTGTTTCTTTTCTTAGTCTTTGATACTTGATAAGGTTCAGAAAAAAAGTGATCCTATATTCAAGGACACACACACACACACACACACACACACACACACACACACGCACGCACGCACGCACACACACACACACACACACACACACACACACTTGTAATTCAAGGATAGCAGTAACAAGGTCATGTTGTGAAAGTAAACCCTTTCCAGGCTCCATAAGAAACATACTCGATTTTTCTGTTTCTGAAAAAGGATATATTTCTTTACTAGCTCATTTAAAAAAAGGCCAGAGCCTTCTCCCTCAGCTGCAGCATGTACTTCTATTTCAGTAACTGGTGTTTTAGAGGCATAATGGGGTCAAGACCTCACATTCAGTCAAAGTCTCAAATGGACAGCACAGTATTCATAGTATACCGAAAGCATGTGCAGCACTTAGCAGATAGAGCCGACAATACAAAACAGTGACTCAAAAGTAGATTTTGTTATCCTTCTTCTTCCTTTTGCATTCATTCAAGACACAATTGAAACTGATATCAAAGCAATTGTTTGACAATCTGCTTTTTATTGATGAGAGTAACACCTGAAGCTGATCCCCACAGCAAAGAAGAAAAAGACCAACTGAGGAGTTCAGTTTGGTTTGGCACATGATAAGAACCTATTTTCTCCTTGAAGATGTTTGGTCATTGACCCCAGACAGGTTAGCTATCCAACTAAGGAAAACTTTGCTTTGTTGTTTGATGATTTTGAGTTTGGGTAAATAAAGCCCCTTTGACAGATTCCCAGACTTTGTTTGCTGTGTTTTTCTGTTGCCTGCCCAATCCTGTTACAACTAGCAAACGTAGATCTGAAGAAAACTGGATTCAGTTTGGAAAGCAGGGCTATGTGTATTCCCAGAAAGTTGCTCTGTTGCGAGTGAAGCCAAAGCAGTTTGACTCCCTGGTATACGAGTATTCATTGGCACACACGAGTGTTTTCTTTAACCCAGCCTCCCAGGCCTACTGAAACAAACAACTCACCTGTGCAAAGGTAATATATGTGCACCGTCAATCCACTCTAGAGCTCACAAATTAACACGTTATACCTATCTTGTTTGTTTGTTCTGTAAAAATCCCGAAATGTGGAGAAAACATTGGAAACATTACTGTTTATGCCAATATGTGGTTTAGCGCTAATCTGTCTACAGTAGGCTACAGTTACTTTCTGTTTTTTGCTGCTTCTTTCAGTTCAGTACAAAACTATGTGTGCATTTACATCAGAGTTAACTTAGTAAGATTTCAATGTATGCTTTAGTTGGCTCTTTTTTTAAATGTGGACAAATGGTGGCATTCTGTTTTCCTCCAGTGTTTACAACAAGCTAAGCTAACTGCCTGCTAGAGCCAAAGCCTTATATTTAAGCTGTTCAGTACAAAATGATGTCTATACAATGACTCAGCAGCTTACAGTATATTTACATCAGAGTTCTCTTACAACAATTGTATTTGTCTCTAGTTGGCTCTTTTATAACTTTGGACTAATGGTGGCTAGCTGTTTTCCCCCAGGCTAAGCTAAGCTAACTGTCTGCTAAAGCCAAAGCCTAATCACAATCTTGTACAGTAGGTGGCGGTATGCACCCTTAAAGTTCTTTGCAATCCGCCAAAAACCGAGAGGAGAAGGAGAAGAAGGAGAAGGAGAAGGAGAAGAAGAAGAAGAAGAAGGAGGAGGAGAAGAAGAAGAAGAAGAAGAAGAAGAAGAAGAAGAAGAAGAAGAAGAAGAAGAAGAAGAAGAAGAAGAAGAAGAAGAAGGAGAGGGAGAAG